AAGCCTCTCATTTTTCTTGACTAATGAAAAAAAATAATCTTTTTGACTTTCTCTATCAGAATTACCCAGAGAATCATTATACAGTTCATTATTAATTTTACGTACAAAATCCACTCTTTCTTGTGATAATGATGATAATAATTTATTATATGACATTTTTAAATATCTTTTAAAAAAAATTTATAAATTTATTTTGAATAAAACCCGATTTTTTCCTTTTTGAGACAAATAATTAATCGTACAACTAAGTCACTGGATTTATTGGTGAAAATTCCGTAGGCGAATCAATTGAAACATTATTAAAATCATTTATTTTATTTATATTGCTTTATAAGATCAATCATAATATATATATAATTTGTTATGGCATATTATATTAATATAAACATTCAAAATTTATTTTATGAAGAAAGGGTTTCCATTCAAATAAAGTATTTGCTATTTTACTAGCTTGCATTTATATTGATGAATTATCACAAATTAAAAATGAATAATGATTACACAAATAATCATACAACAAAATGTTTTCTTCTGAATTCCCAGAATATTGTTGTTATAGATTATGATGAATAATAATTTATGATACTAAATGGGAAATTTTTGTCTATAACGTGTCATCATTTTTTAATTAAACATGTCTAACTAATTTTAATCAAAGGATGGCGGGCTAACTTTAAATTAACTATAGGTTAACTTAATGCCTCACTTTAGCATAAAAACGAACTGTACTTCATGTTCCAGGCAGTGTTGGAAATTCAACGATCTTGTGATCTGCATAAAAAAATTTGTGCACATATGATCAAATTCATAAAGTTACAAAATATGTTCCTATATTTTTTATCTTCTCAATATTCACATGCTTTCTCAAAATTAAAGCCCTCGATTTCAGGTCCATTTAATAAAATCATTAAATGATTATTTAATATATCAAGATTCATTTTGTTCCTTAATTTATTCTTAATCAACTTTGTTTGGGAAAACATCTTTCTAGATTGAAAGAAGTATAATGAGAGATATTTTAATTAGAAGGGATATATTCGGGTAATTAAAAAAGTCTTCATTAGTGTCAAAAATGAATTTTTTATTTGGTACTATGTATATATTATAATTTGCACATAAAATGATCCACGTTTTTAGTGCGTCCGCACCCTCCGCACTCTGAATCACCAGCACTGCTCAGAAAATATATTTATTATTATGTATTTTTTTAAGAATATTGAGATTTGTTTTATAACGAAAATAAAAAAATTATTTAGCACTAAGATATTAATGCAAATCGTAAATTTAATGGGTTGTATTTTTTTTCATCTTAAATAAATTAAATAAACTATTATCATTACAATATAAAACCTCAGTTTATAAACCGAATCAATTCTCCAATCCATCAACATTTTAATCTTGGCCCTTTCCTTTATTGTTATTAATATAATCAAATGTTTATTAATTAGTTAAATGCGAATAAACAAGATTATTAGTAATAATAATTAATGTGTAATAATTAGTAATGAATGAAAAATTAATTTACCATTGTTTAAGAGAAGAGAATTAAAACCAAGATCAATTAATGAAATATCATTACTTGTATAAAATTTTAAGTCTTTTGATTTAGCAATTTCATCATCTAATATTCTACTTGTATGGTATGCTTCTGGATGTGGCCTGTGTACTTGTTGTGAATCACCACCACCACCACCACCACCACCACCACTACTAATATTACTATTATTATTATCATTAAAAAATTCTTCATGTTTATTTACAGCAAATGTTTGAAGCTCATTAATAGTTGGTCTTTTTGATGGATCCACATCCCAACACTTCAGCATCATTTGTACATAATAATCAGGCATTTCAGGTAATATTGGTGGTCGTAAACCTTCACATATATCAAAAACTAAATGATGATC